CTTTCTATTCATCCATTCAAAGTAGGAATTGACTTAAAATTTTCTTTTTATATTATTTAAACAGACTTGCCCTGTAATTATTTTATTCAAATAATTCCAGCCGTAATCGATTTTTATCTCAAAAATTACTTTTCATGGAAAAATAATACATTTTACTCATTTTTTATGGGGTAGTTAATAACTGGATATTGTCTTTTAATAGATAAGCAAAAAAAAATATTTTTTGGTGGATGTTTTAATGTTCACTCTCTCTCTGTCCTTTCTTATTTCAGCATTCTATTTTCTTTCTGTAAGCTTTTTAAATTAAAATTAAAACTCATCTACAGTTTTAACAGATTTCACAGCCCAACAGTTGAAAATCGTGATTCGAAACCAAACATTTCAAATTCGCAACATTTTTGCATCCCAACAAAATAGGAATCCAAACTACGAATTTGTTAACATAACCACTAAAATACGGCGGCCACTATATGTAAATAAATGAAAATATGTTTTTTATTTTCCTTTTTTTTAAAATTTTTTTTATAATCTTTGACTTTAAATATCAAATTTTGCAATCACGTTTACAACACACACAATACAACAAATACGAACCTTAGAAACGTTGACTTAATGAAGGTTACCACCAAAAAAATATTGTGGAAAAAAAAGTATTAGGACATGATGCAAATTAATAAGCATTTCTTTTAATAAGCAATAAAACAGTTTTTTTCACATACTGAAATAAGTAGAGGTCATTGATTTTAAAAAATTATTTTAAAGTGTCTGTGGAAATTTTATTCTGAGTTTGTTCGAAGGTTAACACAAGATCCTGTTTACACTGATATTGTGTGCCCTTTTTATGAGCTTCGCAATGACTGGAAGGCATAATAAATGTTCTGTTAGATTCAGATCGGGACTCTTCACCGTCAAATCAAATAAATTTATTGAATTAACTGCAACTGAAACGTGTCTGGAAGCGTTATTCAGTAAAAAAAGTCTCTTTGAAGAGCTTAGTGTGGCCTTAGGCAACACATTTTCGCATAACACATCAACGTACTGCTGAAGAGCTCACTTTGTAGTTGAGAGACCATTCATGTGATTATGCTTGCTGATGAAGCGTGCCAGATCATTACTGTGCCTTCAACATACTTACCCTCATATTAAACCATAGAAAAAGCTATCTGGCCTATTAAAATTGAACTTGATGTCATCAGAAAAAACTGCATCATTTCGTAGAGTGAGAGACTTTTAACAAAGTCTTATTTTCTTATGTCAATTTGAAGAGCAGGACTTTCATACGAACTTTTCATCCTAAAAATAATAAATTTTTTTTCAGAACATTTTAAGCTGCTAGTGTGAAATAGGTAAAGTCTATATTTCTTTTGATTTCATTTGCAGTTTCTTACTTACGACCTTTTTTTTCGGCGTATAACGAGCACTTTGAACACAAAAAATAAGATCGAAAATTAAGGGTGCGCGTTATAAGCCGGGTATAAAAACGATAGCTTTAAAAATAACAAAACAGATGGACATAAAAAAAATTTTACTTCTAGATGTATCGATACACTATTTATTTAAAAGAAACAACTTGCCTTATGAACAAGAACAGTTGTAGTTCTAGAAGTATATATTTTTTCAAAAGTCTAGGGTAATACCTTGAATTAATTACTTCAAAACATAAGAACAACGTATATTAATAATTCAGATTTCTTCGTTAAAAAGGGGGTGCACGTTATACGGCGAATATACCTTAAAATTAAAAAATTTAGCTTGAAAGTATAGGTGCGCGTTATATAAACCGGTGCTCGCTATACGCTGGATTTTATGGTATATACATATATATATATATATATATATATATATATATATATATATATATATATATATATGTATATACGGTATATATATATGTATATACGGTATACATATATATGTATATACGGTATATATATATGTATATAAGGTATATATATATGTATATACGGTATATATATGTATATACGGTATATATATATGTATATACGGTATATATATATGTATATAAGGTATATATATATATATGTATATACGGTACATATATATATGTATATACGATATATATATATATGTATATACGGTATATATATATGTATACAAGGTATATATATATGTATATACGGTATATATATATGTATACAAGGTATATATATATGTATATACGGTATATATATATGTATACAAGGTATATATATATATATATATATATATATATATTGTACTAATTTTTAATCGTTAATACAATACTTTTATTCATTCCCTCAAGTTCAAATACACTTTTTTAAACTTGTAGTGGATGACACTTGATGTTAACACAGTTTTTCAAATATTAGTTCACATTAATTAATGAATAAACAATAACAAATATAATAGTCCAACACTATATACAGAAAGGAAAAACGCTCGTTGTGTCCTAGTAGCGCGTGGATAACGCGTTGGACTTCTAATCTAAAAGCCGTGGGATCGAATCTCATCTGGGATAGACTAATTTCTGAGAATGATTTCTTTTTTACTGAACTATTTTATTGGAATAATTAAATTTAATAGAATGAATAAATAGTAACAAACACAAAAATAATAGTTTAACACCCTATATAGAAAGGAAAATGGAAAACTGCATTCTGTTTTGTCATTTAATATATATATATATATATATATAGATATATAACCTGCAATCATGGTTCCTAAGGCCAGGAGTTTGTTATTGTACTACTGTGCCTATATTTCTTCCTATTTAGTATAGTTCTCTTAGGTTCTATAGCTCTCTCTCTCTCTCTGTATTTATATATTTTGGATTATTTATACTCTCTTTTATGTTTCTGGCTGCACTGCGCCTAAATATAAAAGAACTTTATGAATTACTATTGTTTTTCTATTATTATATAAGCAATTTAGCTTATAGCCTAATTCTGAATTCTTACCAGATTCTAATTTTGGCTAATGTAAATAATCTTATTTTTTACTATTTTATTTCATATGTTAATTAACACTTCGCTTTCATATTCAAGATGGAGCCGCGTTAGCCGAGTGGTATAGGTTTCGGACCGTGGCTTGCTTTGTCAAGAGTTCAAGCCAGTACCACTAAAGACCCGCCGTGTAGGGCAGCGATGCCCGTTAAATCTGTCGAGAGCTGAAACGTCCTCCCGTTGGTGTGGTGTGGTAGTTAGGAGAGGGGGGTGCCAGCTCAGGTGTCGTCCACGTCAATTGACCATGGTTCAAAATAACATGGTCCGTCACCAAAAGCCCTCGTGTAGCTAAACAGTGCGACGTTAATATTCAATCAATTCATATTCAAGATAATATTTAAATTTCTAATGTTATTCTTTCCTTTCCTCTTGGTACGTAGTATGACAAACTACAGGTGGAATTTGGCTAGCCCTAAAACTTGTTTAAACTTGCAATCCTGGTTCCTAAGGCCAGGAGTTTATTATTGTGTTACTGTGCCTATTTCTTCCTATTTAGTATAGTTATCTTAGGTTCTATAGCTATCTGTGTATTTATATATTTTGGATTACACACACACGCACACATATATATATATATACATATTTATATTAATTGTAACTATTTGCTGAAAAGTAATTAAAATAAAGTTTTTCTTTGTTGACCTAAGAAGAAATTGATTTAAAAAAACATTTTTTTATATTACTTATTTTTTCGCCGATGCTTTGGAATTTTTGCCTTTCCAGTTCCTTTCTTCATTCCATACATTACAGATTCTTTTAGGAGATGACGGTTTTCAGTTTTTAATTTTATTTAATTGCATACCGACGTAGTCCACATCCTTCAAAAGCAGTAATCTTTCAAGGTCAAGAAGATGAGTTTTTTTAAGCTTTTCAATTTTTGAGGAAGATGAATTCTTCAATAATTGAAAAAAGATGAAGCAAGTGTTGTTTTTTGTCCCCCTTAGAATCTCTCTTTAATCGAGAAAGCAATTTTCTGCTTTGAAATATACACACACTGAGCAATTTTGTATGAAACAACAGTTAGTTGCCCTTGTATTTCCCCCCATAAGTTGGTAGCCGTGGTAGCTTAGTGAGTGAGTGAATATTAACGTCGCACTGTTCAGCTAGCTACACGAGGGCTTTTGGCGACGGACCTCGTAATTTTGAACCATGGTCAAGTGACGTGGACGACACCTGAGCTGGCACCCCCTCTCCTAACAACCACACCACACCAACGGGAGGACGTTTGAGCTCTCGACAGATTTAACGTGCATCGCTCCCCTACACAGCGCGTCTGTAGTGGTACTGGGCTTGAACTTGTGACAAGCCATCCATCGTAGGCGAGGTATGGAAGTTCGGAGAGGGATGAGTGGTCACGGTAGCCTAGTGGTCAAGGTAACGGACTCGTGGCCGGCGTGTCAAGAATTCGACCCTAATACCGTTGAAGAACCTCCACACTGGAGGAGCTGATGCATTTTAAATATTTCGAGGCTCAAACGTCCTTCCGTTGGTGTGGTAGTTAGGAGGTGGAGGGGTGATACCTTAAGTGTCATCCTCGTCCTTTGACCGCTAATATTCACTCACTCACTCACCCCCCCCCCGTATCATAAATTTATTATAATTTTCAACACTAAAGAATTAACCAGATCTTTTTCCTACCGACTTTTATGAAGATGAAGAAAGGAGAGTGAGAATCAACTTAAAAAATGCATCTTCCAATTCGCTTACTGCCTGTTGGCTGTGGTAACCTAGTTGTTCTTGTCACAGAATCATCACCGTATTGATGTATGGATACTGAAAGCCCCCTCATTGCCATGGTGTGGTAGTTTGGAGAAAGGGATGCCAGCTCGGGTGTCGTACTCGTTTTTTTCCCGAGGTGGTTCAGAATGACGAGGTCCGTCGCCAAAATCCCTCGAGTAGCTGAATAATGTGACATTAACATTCACTCAATCGGAGAGGGATAACAGCTCGGGTGCCTTCATCATCACTTGACAAGGATTTTAAACTGCAAAGTCCACCGCTCATAGCCCTCTTGTTGCTTTGTTGTGTGGCATTAATAAACACACAGATAGCGAATTCTCTTGCAGGAGTTACCATTCCAAAATAAATTTGGAACAGTGTCTAAAATTGCACATTGCAAATACGGCTGCAGCAGTATAGTTGCTTAACGACTATAACAAAAGGGTAAGTGGATCTAAGAATCTTTTTTATTGCCAAATAAAGACCATTGCCTACCATGACTAATGTGTCTCAAATCCTCACACTGCCGGGGTGAGGATGTGTAGAAACTGCCGGGACTGGTCTGGATTCCCTCATGTTTTTCTCAAGGTGCCACTTCTGCAGTTTTATGTCAGGTGAGTTCAATCATCCTGGGTAAATGTAGGTTTTAACTACATTAACTGCGGAACGTGAGTACTTATGGCAACGAGCTCGTGATTGGAAATCTTTCAACTGAGTTAGTATTCGAGATCTGATTTTATTAAAGACTGTCGTGTAGACGGGTTGATTCTGATGAAATCCGTCAAAGCTCAAGTGACCGTGATGACATGTAGTTATGTCCATGAACTTGTAGTTGGTGTTGTATTATCGTGGATTCGAGATCTGAAGTCCATAAAGAGCTATAGTGTAGAAGAAGGGATGATGCACTTTAAATCCGTTGTGACTTAAAGTCATTCCAGTGGGGTGATGAGGAAGTTAAGAAACTGGTGCTGACTCAGGGATCGACCACAGTTCAATATTACAAGGTCCATCGCCAATACAGCTCGCGTTGCTTTAGAGTGTGACTTTAATAAGCACTCACTCACGCACCTGATGAAATTCAAAATACTCCACGTTGTGTGGCGAAGAGATTATAGCACCAGCTCTGATGTCAACCTCGTCATCTGTCAGAGGTAACAAATTATTTGGCATTTCTAGCAGAGGTTAATGGACCAGGGACTAAAGTGAATGAGTGAGTGAAGGAATATTAGCGTCTCACACAATTCAGCTACACGAGGGCTTGTTGCCACAGATCTCATAATTTTGATCCATGATCAAGTGACGAGAACGACACGTGAGTTGGCACCTCCCTCTATTTACTTCCACGCCACACCAACGGGTGGAGGTTTGAGCAGCGACCGATTTAACGTGCATCACCCCCCAACATGGTGAGTGTTCAGCGATACTAGGCACGAAGTCATGACACGCCGACCACAAGTTCGTTGCCTTGACCACTAGGCTACCACGGCCACCCAGGGACGAAAGGAACGCTAGTTGAGGAGCAAGGTGTCTAGGTATAATAAAGCAATAGTGACTAAAATTTTTCCATATTATGGTGTTTTTACGGAATCAAAATTCGAAAAAAAGCAAGTAAACTCCAATATAGTCGGGGCCATGAAGCTGATTTTTACATATATGGAACAGATACCTCGTGAATTTATACTCGAAAATTGTTTCGTATTGTAAAACTCGCAAGCACAACAGCAAGCTTGCAGAATCTATCGGGGGAAACGTTTTGACGACAACGATCTGAAATATTTATTGTCAAGGTGAAAATGTCGTTGCTGTTACAGGTAGGCAAATAATTATTTATTCTGAAATGTTTCCACATTTTATTTACTAATCTACAAATGTAATTATTTATTTTATGTGTAACATTCTCTCTCTCTCTCTCTCTGGTTTCTTCTGAATCTTTGTTCATATTGCTGTAATATTAGGACACTTTTCACAAAAATTTGTTTCTGAAGGGTTGGATCCAAAATGCTTAAAATAATAATGGAATTATATATTCTATACAGTAGAACCTGTTTTTGTGGGGTCTTTTTCCATGCGATTTTTTTTTTTATGCGTGTATGAATTTCAATGGCTTTGGCGCCACTGTAATATTTTATATCTTTTTACCAATGGTGTAACGGAGAATGCTAGGACCCCTCCTCCCTGTATTTTATAAATTGGGTAAATACGTATTTAGCGTAAGTCAAGCCTTGGGCCACTAGAGTCCTGCCCCCTCCCGTGATGCGGGGGTGTACGTTACGCCACTGAAATGTAGATACTTCAAGGCGCTCTATTCATTTGTTATAAACAGTCTCCCGACAATGCGCAGTCACTTGCTTTCTCTCAACGCCTCAGCAGCCCGAACTTGATTGAAGACGAAACTTTCAATGACAGTGACATCGTGTCAATAATTTGATAGGTTTTGACGATGGACAAGAACTGGATTCTTTGAGAGCGGATAAAAATATGCAGGGATTCAGCTTCCCCAAAAATTGGAAGAGCATTTTCTTAAAATGGATAACAATTAAGAAAGGAGTATAAAATTCCAAAAAAAGGTCTTCAATCATGTATATCTGGTTATCGTGACATTTACAAGCAACTGACCACCGGACCTTTGTTACAAAAACTTATCTCCTACTTTATGTTGCCAAAAAATAAATAATTTGAAATTTTACCTTTAAGTGACGAAAGCTATTTTGAACTTGTTCATAACAGGGCTTTGGATTACGATGAGTTACAATGAATTATGTACATATGTACACACACATTTTGAAAACTTATCTGT